TCACACACACGTACATGTTTTCAAAATACCATATTTTGAACTTGACAAGAAACAACCTGTTGATGGCCTTGTGTGGGCCAGTTGCTTTGCTGTGGGTTCCGTGGTGGGTACTGAGGGACATCAGCACGTGGTCCTTTCCTTGACTGAGTCCCCAAGGATTTAGCAAAGTAATGCCCTTGTTATCATTTAATTCTCCTGATAGTCATTATGAAATAGACACTTGTTTACCTGCCAGTTTACAGTTTGCTTTCTCTCTAGTACACAGGCTCCATTAAATTTTCTTTTGTTGTCCAATTTTTAAAAGTTTTATGAAATAATTTTCACTTTTCACATGGTAGAAGAGTGAATTTTACTTAAAGAGAGGCAGTTTAACTGAATTAATAGCACTGTTAAATATATTAACAAGAAAAAGTGATGATAAATGAGCAATGCTGTAAAACAGAGATGGACAAACTGTAGTTCATTTTGGTGAATAAAGTTTTGTTGGAACATGGCCTCACTCAGCTGTGTCACCGACAGCAGCTTTTGTGCAACAACAACGGTGGAGTTGTTGTGACCTAGACCATATGGCTCAAAAAGCCTAAAATAGATGCTATCTGGACCTTTACAGAAAAAGTTTGCAGACTCTGCTCTAGAATCTAAATTTTTCCCCCTGTGTTGAGTTGGATGTGTTCCACTAGAATGCCAGAGATTTTGTTACCACAAAACCGGCCTCCGTACCCTGAAAACTGGATTGAAAGAGGCAGAGTTTTCAGACAATCAAAGTCGCTTTATTGCTTTGCCAGGCAAAGGGGAGTCACAGCACCCTAATGCCTCAGAGACTGTGCGGCTGGGGTTTTGAGGTTTTATAGAAGATCTTTAAGGAACCGAAAAGGTGATAACAATCAGGGTGTTTTACAGGGTGTTGCATTCCTCTTAACCTCAATGAGTTTTCCTGGCATATTCTGAGATTATCTTCTGAAATATCTTCTGGATTATCTGCCTGTTACCTCCTTCCTGGAGCAGAGCCTCTGGGTTAAAGCTCTTCTCAGTAAAGAATGTATAGGGAGGGGAGAGCTTCCTGGCAAGGAAGCCAGTTTGTTAGTTGTTTTTCACTCCTTCAGCTTCATTGGGAAACACACTGGAACGTCTAACATGCTTTTCCTGTCACTCCTGCAGGTACCGACCAAGAAGTTAAAGAAATATGAGAAAGAATATCAGACCATGCGAGAGAGCCAGCTGCAGCAGGAAGACCCGATGGACAGATACAAGGTATGGGAGTCACGGGGCACCTGTCAGAGCAAAGTGCCTTCTTTCCCCCAAAGCTGCAGCTGTGGGAAGTTCACTTCCCTCTGTTCCTTCTTGATTGACGTAGACCCTCTCTGACCGTGCTCGGTGTCCAGGTATGTACTCATCTCAGGAGACTCCTGAGGCGCCAACCATAATATTTCTTTTCTTTCAGTTTGTATATTTGTAGGTAACTTCACCTGTTGCATTTGTACTGGGAATCTTCATAAGAAGCTGAGAGAAAGGGGAAAAGAAAGAGAGAAAGTGGCTATCGACTATTTTCAAAAATGAGGAAAGAGGAAAATGGCAGAGCACTGGTTTAGCTGTGCACGCTCACATCCACAAAGACTCGTAGAAGGCGAGCCGTTCCGAGACGGGCACGAGAAGGTTGCAGACTTCCCTCTGTGTGTAGCCAATGTTAAAAATACAAACTCATTTGAAAGGAAAAATAAAAACCGCAAAGGTGTATCGAGCACAGTGCTGGTGTCTGTTGCAACATTTGTTCCCACAAATTTCTGAGTAACAGTGACGTGTCACGACAGTGTGCAGTTCCAGAATCCAAATGGTTTCAGTTTACTATCTTAGTTAATTTTAGTATTTTTTAAAAATTGGGCTAGTCACAAAGGTCTCTTCAGTGGTAATTAGCCACGCTGTTCCCATGAAGCCCTGTTGGGGAAATGCTAATTTCAGACTTATTTTGTTCCAGCTGAAATATCATTGTCTCTCTTCAATATGTTTTAATTCTTCAGATTCCTACAGTTGCATGGTGGTTCTCCCCAACATCAGTACATTAAGATAAGAGAATATTGTATTTGTACACTGAGCACCGGCAATGCCAAAATGTCCTGCCAGGAAAAGTGCTGTGGGGACTTAACTAAATCCCCCGCCGCGGGATGACTTCCACCTTTGTAACGAGAGTTGCTCTTGCTTGGTCAGAGAGCTGGCCATGGGCAGCTGCAGTCACACAGTACTTGTCTCTGTCCCTGAACTGACTAGTTTGGGAGGTTCACAGAGGGGACTGGTGGAAGGGGTATATGGATTTTGTAGTCAGATCTGAGTTCAAAACCAGAATTTTTAAAAAAGGAGACAGGATTTGGAATCCAGGTTGGGAGCCTTAACCCCTATGCCATTGGCTCAGCGTGTTGGACTATTATTGAACCTTTTCCTTATTTGTAAAACATACAGTATCCACACTTCCTTGAAGGCTTGCTCTGAGGATGGGGGATGCTGGATGTTTGGTACCCAGCACAGAGCTGGTGTTCGATGGATGGTCGTTACTAGCCTTATTATGGCCTGCTGCCTCTAATTACCCACGTATCACAGGAACAGCATCGCCTTGCGTGTGTCTGCCCCACTGGTTAGCTCTCCCCGTCTTCCTCCTGGTTCTCCCAAGTATTGCTGCCCAATAATCTAACATCAGTAAGTTTCTCCCCTTGTTTATAAAACTGGCTGATAATAAAATCCCACATACTGCAATGGCAGGTAACTATTACCCTATAAGGTGCTCGGAGATAAATTTCAAAGCTGATTTCCACCTCCTCCTGCCCCCTCCCCACCAATAAAACCGATTTTACCATAGCTTATGTAATGTGCCGCTTGAGAAAGGCTTGAAGGAGTGATTATAAAATACTGTTAAGGATCCAGAATGAAGCTCTCCTACCGCTTGCATCATTCTAATTTTCTAAACGCTGCCATCACAACGAGCCAGATCTGGGAAGGATCCTTTAAAACAGAAGAGAGGGAAATGAAAGATGAAAACTGTGTAAACTTAACATCAGCCTGGAACTGAACTTGTTACTGTTTCTTACATCCTATTTGTGTCAAAGAAGATACGTATGTATAAATAGTATGATGCATATTATTTTTTAAAAGTAATTATCACACGTAGACTGTTGATGTATACAGTTGTTACTGAGAGATCAAAGTAGAATAAAACTTTTTTTCTTTTGAAAACAGGTGCTAACTTTTAAGCTTGAATGTCCTATTTGTGCATATCAGATACCCTCTATAACGATTTCTTTTGTATTGCTGTAATAGCGTATCAGTACGTCATCCAACTACTATTTTTACACCCTTTTAATAATGTCTAGAAATTTGTACTGGAGATAGACTTGGTAAAGTTATAGTCCTCAAATTAAAATTACATTTTCAAGGTGACAGCTGACAACACAGCATCCAGCCATGAATAGGTTTGTTCTTTCAGATACTCAGTGTCTGGTTTAAGAAGCTAACTATCACTGTCTTTATTAAAGTTAGGAAAGTGTCTTAGAAAAATATCTTCTGGCATCTTACAAATTTAATCCAGTCAAGAATAAGATCTCTGCCATGGGAATAAGCACTTTGTCATTCATAGGTCTTAGACTGTGAGCCTAGTTATGTAAATTCTCAGGAATAACTTGGGGAGATCTCTGAAGGCATTGAATCAACCATTAGGATCCATACTGCTTAAAATTCTGTGTTTACCCCCTCACTTGCTGTATGGCAAGGGACTTAGGAAGATTGTGTCAATTTTTAAAAAAGGCTCAGAAGTGTCATACCATAAGATCTTCTGATTTTTCAGCTTGATACTATTTTTCTTGGGCATAGCGGGGTACAAAAAGGGCCATTTCAGGGAAGCCAGAGGTGGGATTAAAGGTCCAACAATGCAGGCAGAGCTCTCGGCAGTCACATTCTTGCTGTGTCTGTCCAACCAGGTGTTTTGTGTCCGTTTTTCTGACGTAGACAGCTGTCTGCATTCTCAGGTTAGGTCACTGTACTCACCTGTATCTAACACTTGATGAAACAGTGTTGGTGTGCATTTAAATTTTAGAACCCTAAGCGCAGTGGAAATGTTCTGGAATTTGAGAGTGGTGATGGTTGTACAACTTTGAGAATGTAGTGAAACCACCAGATTATACACTTTAAAAAGATGAATTTTATGGTGTGTGAATTATATCTCAAACAGAAAAAAATCCAAGCAAAATGTTCCAAGAGGATTGGCACCTGCCCGCCATCTTCTTTTTATCAACCTCATTCATACCTGTGCAGAGGCCATATGTGTGGGAGGGAGACCTTCCTGTCAGAATTGGAGCGAATCAGTGACTAGGGATCCTGTGTGTGCTCGTGCTTATAAGGGAAAGGCTGACAGAAGCGGGTGGTACATTTATTTTCGTAGATGTGTGTGTATGTGTGTAGTGTATACATCTGTGTATACACATGCACACAGACTTAAACATATATAAATAGGCACGTTGGGTGTATACACACGGCTGGTGCTGCCTGGTCTTGTATTTGAAACTCAGTGAACTGTGTAATGACTGCTCATAGCCTTTGGCGCACTCTTTCTGTTTATCCTCATGGCTAGGTTCTGAGACACAAAAGCAAACTTTATTAGAAGAAGAATATGTAGTATTTATGCTTAAGCCTCTTTTCTTGTCCTTCTGAAGTTTGACCTGGCCAAGTTTGTCGAGTGGTATTTATCTACTCTGGTATTTTGGTTTGTAACTTTACTTATAGATTTCAAATGAAGTGAAGCGCAGGATAAAGCTTTGTCTGTAGAAAAACACCATGTGTATTTTTATTTTCCTGGAGGTCCCTAGAAAGCAAACATTCATGGATATGCACAATCATTTTTAAAATTTTAGTCATTTTAAAAATTAGTAGCCAAGTCCCGAATAAGCAGTTACCGGCTTCAGAAATTAAAATATTTGTTTCTCTTTTAAGAAGATGGATTGTTTTCATTTGGGGAAGGTTAGTTTTCTGACAATGTAACCCATTGTTGGCACTTTTTTTAGAGACTACAGCATTCACCTGTCTTTAGAAGATGATACGCTTTTCTTATTTAATTAAAGAACTACTCGTACAAATGTGAGTTAAGCCTTAAAAAAGCACAGCTAATTAATTAAATTCAGTGAATCTCCCAAAGCATAATGAAGGTTATGTTATTACCTGTTCTAGATGGGCAGATCCTAGAAAGAATCAGGAATGCTTCAACTCTCTGGGGTTTGGGAGACAGTATTATAAATACATAATTTCTAATTGAAGAATCTTATCTGTATTCAGTATAATTAAATTTAGAATGTTTAACTTCTTTCTTGAGGTTACACATAGTATTTTTTTTTAATCAAAAAATTCAAACAGAAAGAAAATGATTCCTGTAAGTTCACAGGAAGTTTTTCTTGCCCATACTAATTTTCATAGAGCAGTTGTCCCTACATGGAATTTAAAATTAAGCTGTTTAATTATAAATAGTACAAAAAACACAAACAGGATCTTTTAAATAAAGCTTAATTTGTGCTTGTATCATTTGCCATCCTTACACATCTAATGAAATAATTTAGAACAATGACCACACTTTTTTTTAACTTGGTAAGTGAGGAAATTTAAATCATGCTAAACATCTTACCTAGGGAAAAAAAGGCCCCCACCTCCTCCCTTTAAAAAAATTTTTTTTTTTACTGTGTCAGTCCCTTCCTTACTCAGAGAAGTCAAGAAAATGAAATCCATCTTTGAAAAATGTTTTTCTTCCGATGAAAATAACTTTACACTTTGTTATTTTCTACATCACAGAGATGTTGTTGGCTTTTGGAAATATTTGTGTTATGAAATCATGTGCTTTTAATGAATAGTGATAGTCAAGAGGATGGTTTTATCTGCCTGGGACAACTTAATGATAAACTTCAGAAGGCTGCCACTGTTTCTCTTCGCACCTGGATAAGTCGATGAGCTCACTTTGTAAGACGGTGGAGGATGCAATTCTGAGCTGCCTTGAAGCGTTCTGAGCAACTTAGCTAAGAAGGGGCAGGTGGTTTCTGATGATGCTTGTCTGCTGATTGAGTTATAATTAACTGTCAGAGGAAGTATAAATGTTACGCGTGTTAAGAATTTCTAAGAATCTTTATTGGTGATCTTTAGAATTAGCTCTCCAAAAATTTTAACAAAATTTTTGGTAAGTTTTGTTTCCTGTTAAAGGAGTATTACCAAGAAAATTATGTCATACTTACATGTTTCTACATCATCTGGAACTCATTTGCTTTTTAAAAATTCAGTTTGTTTGCTAGAGTAGTACAGGGATTTGCAAACCGTATGGCCTTTGGTCCCAGTCTGGCCCACTGCCTGTTTTTGTAAATAAAGTTTTATTGGAACAGCCACATACTTATTATCTATGGCTGCTTTTGCACGGCAGGGACAGAGTTGAGTAGCCGCAACAAAGACCACATGGCGTGCAAAGCCTAAAGTATTTACTGTCTGGGCATTTACATTAAAAGTTTGCCGACCCCTGTGCCAGAATATAATCTGAGATTGTTTTTAAATGCTAAAAGAAATGCAGTCTGGTTTGCCAACTGCCAGTTAGTTATTACTGACAAGATTTTCTCTTTAGTTTGACATTTAAAATTGTTTAAATTTCCACTAGAAAGATAAAACTGGGTATGTTGGGTAAAAGAAGAGCCTAAAATGATTGTAGATATCCAGATTCTCTTTCTCAAACCTTCATTTACAATGTAGACATTTAAACGTTTCATCTCTAGGCATTTGTCTTTGAATGTCAAAAACTGTTTGATGAAATTTGAATGTGATGACTATAAACTCTTTTGGAAGAGGCATCCAAAAGAAAAGATTTGAGAGTTGAGTGTGTTGTTGCTAATAAAATGGCACTGGGTCTTTTAGGAAAACATTTTTCTCCTGACCCTTAAATGTCTTTAAAAGCATGTGCCAAGAATTCATTATAGCAGCAGACAGCACACCCAAAATACTGAGCTGGAGTTTCCAAAGCCGCCTCCTTTCCCATCATCTTTTCCTTTAAGGCTGAGTTTATTTCCTTCTAATCACCCATTCACATTTCTCTAGTTTCTCATCTTGGAAAAAATGACGTTCACCTTTCCTTTTACTGCTTCACCCAAGCTCCAACCCCCAGACACCAAGGAGACCTGGGATCTATTTTTCCTTCTGCATTCCCCTGCCCAGCAATTTCATTCTTTTGCCGGAAGATGAACTATTCTGCAAAGTTTCCAACTTTGTCATACAAGGAAGTTCCTTCCACCCAGCTTTAATAACATAGCATAAACAACTCACACCGTAGTTGCAAGAAGTTCCACACACAGCATTTTCATCAGTCATGCAAGCTGCAAATAGCAGCGTGGAGAGGGAGGAGTTTAGTGTATCAGCCTTCCTGCGTTGAGACTTGCCCACTGGCCGCCTCAAGTATACTTTCTGCCATCCAATGTTATTAGCAGTCCTCGAGAGAACTTAGAGTAAATGACACTCTGAGGAAAAAGAAAATAGCAAAATAGCATTAACAAGTGTCTGTTTTTGTTATTGACATTTCCTAATTGTATTAGTAGGTGTGCAATTTCATTGGATATTCTTTTTTTTTTCAATTGTCTTTGTACCTATGATTGAAAACGGTAGTTGGTCTATGACCTTTAAGGAGGTAAGTTTTTTGTCTGTGTATGTCTGTAATATTGGCGTCTGTCTCTCTGAAAAATGCAGTATCCTCCTCCCAAAAGTTACTAACCAGACTTTCCCAGCTGTTCAGCTCCAATGCAAGAGGGGAGGGAATTAACGAGGAAAGCTGTTGTCTGCTTTTTGTTCAAATGTTGTTTATTGTGTGAGATGGAGGAGGTTTCAGACAGTGTGATGTAAATTTTAAGGGCTAAGTGAGCATTGTCTCCTGTAGTCTTGTCTGAAAGTCAAGGGGAGTGGTCTGCCTGTTCTGTGCACTTGCGCATCCACTTGTGCAGACGTACGGAATGTTGGGTATCTCCGGATTGGCTGAAGTTCACGGGGCCAACTTCACGTCTTTCTCGGGTGGGCTGCACTTGCCAGTATTTCAAAATGAACCAAACAAGATTACTACCTTTCCCCAAATGGAACCATCTTGTGTTAGTATAAAGGCAAACTTTTTCTTGAATCAGCCAGTTCTAAAAACAGTTTTGGTTTTTTGGAAAAGACAGCCAAGTAATTTCATCTCTCTTTAACCCTTGGTAAGTGTGGGCAGGTTCTTCATAGAAAATCTCCATCTCAGTAGCAGTGCCTCACCGTAGTACTCTGGGGCACTGGAGGACTCCCGAGGACACGTTGCCGCCCCCGGGGTGCATACTTTGGAGGATGATACTGCATTTTTGGCCCCGGAGCTTGCTTTCCCAAATGTCTGTGAGTGCAGAGCAGGAGTCACACTCCCCACTGTGCTGCTTGCTTCGCAGACACTGAACTGAAGCTTCTTGCTACAGCAAAAATCCAGTAGGCTTGCCCCCAGGCTATTTTGCTTTTAATGGACCCTTGGACACTCATAATTTCTCCCAGATCTTTTCCTGTCCACCCCCACCACCTTAGCTACGTGTCTGTGTCTCCGAGGAGAGGTTCGGGTTGCGACAGTCATCGTAATGGGAAGTTACCAGTCAAGTTTCAGCCGAGCTTATGTCAATTTCTGGTATTAAGTAATATAACCCATCATTCATTTATCTCTAATCAATAATGAAGTACCCACCTGATGCCTTTTTTTTTTAAAGTACTTTGAACAGAGTGCTTTTCCACTAGCATTGTCTGACTACCTGAAGGTTGTTTTAACTCGCTTCTAAGCATGTGTCACTGTAACCTGAAAAACTGGTAGCTGCAGCATTTTCACTTGTGCCAAATTAATGCAGTGGAAGTAAAGAGCTGAGGGAGCTCTCTGTCCCTTAGAGAACTGCAAGTACACATTCAGTAGAAACAGGGCACTTAGCTCAGGAGTAGGTATTGGAACAGCCTTATCACAGTCTCTTTTGAAGAGATTCATCAAGAAATGAGAAAAATCTCTTCCCTGCCTAAACACTCTGCCTTATGAAATAGGTTCTGATGAAACTGTGCTGAGTATTGCTGCTTGTCCCTGGCAAGGAGGAAATTTATTGGAAAAGTTTCTGAACCATTTTTTTTTGAAGCTACGTGTTTGAGTATGTAAATTGGTTCCACAAAAAGAGGTATTAGATGTATCAGAATGAAAGACTAATGTCTAGCCTCTGCTCGAATCTGGATTGCTTCAGCAAAGATTGAAAGATTCAGCTCTAGACACTCTAGGCTTTTTTATATTTTAGTTTCCGCTTTTATTATGCTTCTGTGAGAGGGTAGATGTTCTATAGATGGAGGATTTGATGAGTATAATTTGCCTCTACAAATACATTTGCTATCTTTTCAGGAATATCTTAGGAAAGGGTTCCTGGCAAGTCAGCACTATTAAGGGGTTACATTGTACCTTGGTCACAGAGGAAAGTCCACTGTGGTTTCCCATAGAATATGAGCTACCAAAAGGAGTGGATTTTTAAAAAACTGTGACTTTGGCATTTTATTCTTTCCAATGAAATTGAAATTCTGAATTGCTTTTTATTTTTTAAAGAACTTTTTAAACTTCAAACACTTGGAAATGTTTTGAAAGCACTAAGACAACAATAAAAATTATCCATTACCCGCAGTTAACGTTATTTATGTTATTATGAAAATGGAATTTTCCCATTACTTGTCTTTTTTTTCCTATGAGGTAGCACAAGCATTTCTTCTGTCGTGAGATATTTTTCACTTATATTTTAACACTGTATGGAAATCTTTAATTCATTTAAAAATTAAGTGATTTGGGTTTTTTTTTTCTTTTTTAGCAGATCTCTTTTGCAAAAATGTTTTGACTGTCCCCAACTATCCAGTCTACCTTTTCCAAAGGAAAATATAGAAATGGGCCCTGTTGGCTGCCTAGAGTCAAAGTGTAGGTGCATCCTTTGGCTTCCCTGCTGGCCCTGTTTTTGGATCTTCTGCCTCCAGGAAAATCTCAAGCTTTGCCCTTACCATCTGTTTCTTAGCCCTTCTTTAATAAAAAAAAGAAAAGCAAAAAGAAATTAGGTTTCCTTCTTTCTATATAACAAACTCCATGTTGTTCTATAGCAGATAAAATCCCCAGCCTCCCCTCCCCCTCCACTCCAGGATGCTCTGGTACACTATCTGCCAGGGCGTACACAGGTTTGTCTTCTGCTTGGGGAACACTGCTTTGTCTAAGTTTTTGCCATCCTTGCAGAAAACACTGTTAGGAGTATAAATCTGAAAAACAGGAAGGTCTCAGCACATTGATGTCTTTCCTGTCAGCTCTCTTTTGAACCTTCTGTGACTGCTAACAGTAGCAAAGATGCTTTGGAATGGAAGACACCAAATTGCCATTCGGAAAATAGCTGTGAATGTACACTGGTCATAACGGCTAGTGAAGGGGAGTCCTTGCTTCGTAAGAATGAGTGACTTGCTTTTATCATATAACTGTTTCAGATTTTTTTCCCTTGGGAGTTCAAGGCGGGGTGGGGTGGGGGCGGAAACAGCTCAGTAATATATTTTACCCAGAATCTTTTAATCTGAAGTTAAAAAAAAAAAGCAAACATTTAGAGACATTATCATAAGAATTGTTGTTTTAACACAAAAATTGGTGTTCAGAACAATACATATAGTCTTAGCCAAAGAATGAAAAAGTCAGTTGATAGTGAAACAAAACCATATGCTTAAACATACTCGACCAATTTGAACCCTGATATGGGAAAAACAATTTGAAGAAATGCCTAGCGGTTTCCCCACTTCCATCTCTCCTGTGTCGTGCCTTGAGGTCAAGGGTGGGATCACTGCGCATGTTTCAAACAAAGAACTGCCTGTATCTGTGTTCTAGGTCTATAGGAAAGCCTCAGAGGACTGGGGGTGTGTTTGGAAATCTTGCTTTTTGTGGCACGGTTCTTATGATGCACTCCTGTCTGGGGGCTTCCGAGACAGCTGTAAGTTTCACCGGGTCGAGTTCCGCACCTGCACCGCTCGCTTAACCCACTGTTGTTTCCCCGACAGCAGTCCTGCCTTCCCGTGCCACCTGCGCCTTCTCCTTCTTACACCTTCCGAAGTTCACTCTCTTGTTGTTGTTGTTGCTTGTTTTTCCTCACAGCTCCACTGGCTTCTGATAGTATGTCCAGGCACTAACGCCCACCTCTGGCTGTTGCTCTTTTCCTGCAGAGGGAGAACCGGAGATTACAGGAGGCCAGCATGAGGCTGGAACAAGAGAATGACGACCTTGCCCATGAACTCGTAACCAGCAAAATCGCTCTGCGGAATGACTTGGATCAGGTAAACGTGGCGTCCACTAGGCAGAAGTAAGACTAGACTGTGATGACCCCCTCAGGGGCAAGGACCAAGAGGCTCTCAGAACAGCCCCACGAGGGCTTGCTCTGCCCTCGGCACTGAGTGAGCTGCTAAATGGGTGAACTGTGTGGCGGGAAGGGGACTGCTTGTGCTAATTGGAGACGGAAGAAAACGCAAGCCTTTGAGACAGGTTTGAGTCCTTTCCAAGCAGCATGTGCAACATACTTTTTTCTTTTAATACCTCTGAGCTTTTCTGGTGTTCGTAATCTGCACTTTTCCTAAGCCAAGGGCTGCCAGCATAGTTACCTGAGAATATCAGTCACCAAGAGGATACAGATACCTAACATTTGTAGGCACTGTACTTTGTGTTCTGCAAAGAATTCTCATCTACAGTAACTGTGAGGATTTTATATGAAGTATGTACATTGAGATATTCCTAGTAGTGGATCCACAGGCATTCTAGTGGCTGAGAGTCAAGATCGCTGGTATATGAATCCTGGCATCAGTGCTCACTCATCATGTGACCCAGGGCAATTCTTAACCTGCCTATAGGTTTTAGAAAGTGTCTACCCGATAGGGATGATGTGAGAATTAAACGAGGGAAAAAACTATGGAAGTACGTGTTCAGTGCACGTTAGCTTCGTTTCTAGGAAGCCCCTTAATTGTTCAACTTCCTTGTCCTTTCCGACGGTCCTGACAGCTTTAGGACTTCCTGTTTTTCTTTTGTTAGGATCTCTGGAAATAATTGACAATATAAGAAGGAATCTTGTGCAGATTTAAAAACATCACTCTGTTTTCTGACTTCTAGAAAGTGAATAGGGTCAGAACAATGAGGCCTCGGGCTGTTGGACCTGTGAAAGAGGCATGGCCTGGGCTCCCACTGTGCGCTGACAATATTTAAAATACAAATCCATTAATAATACAGGTATAATTGGATGTTTAAAATTGAACGTTGATGTTTAAAAATGGTCCTCGCCACAACTCCTTTTCCCCACGTGAACAGCTAATTTTGCAGCCTGGAAGTTTAAA